TTTTAGGCGGCATAACGAAGATCATGAAAAATAGAAAAAGAGTATGCTCAAGCATTTAATTCTATAAATATCGCTATCGATTGTGATGCTTGAGCGTCATCACGATCATTCTTTAATCAATTGATTTAGATGCTTGAGAACGGCCTTAGTCGATTTTATGTTATGTTAGATTATATTAAAGTAACTAATCAGATTCGATACATTACCTCTTTTAGTACATAGTATTAAGAGTAAGGGCCGAAATACTCCGAAAGGAAAATCAACGAACATAAAATACCAACGAGGTCGCGACAAAATCTCCGATAAATTCCAAAGTAAAAAATATTAATCGGCTTTCTTTGACTTAGCCGAATTTTAAATATCGACTTACTGGTGGGTGTCACGAATTCTTCGTGACATCGTACATACTTAATTTTTATACTTGTTATCGTTATACGTATTCAGTTTCATCCATTTGTTTATTCCGGGCTTGGTTCAGATCCCATGTCTAGTTAGGACCTGTTGGAAGGATATGTCAACGTATGAATTTCACATGGATCTGCAATACCAGAATTTGAAAATTACAGCGAATTCTGGGTAGTTTGAAGTGGATTATGTACAGATGGTAGCAGTACCTGTTCGAATGAGAATTATGCGATAATAGAGTGGAATCGCTACACTTACTATTATGTATAAAATGATTTCAAATCATTCAATAAAGCTCAGATTTAGATTTGTGTCTAATTAACATATGGGATCTTTGCCTTGAAAATTGAGCTACGGAATATAATAAATCGTATGTCCCATATTTGATTTTCAAGGCAAAGACCCCATATAGGAAGTAGGTAATGTTAGTCGAAGAGACTTTAAGTAATCAGTCGCGAAGCCTCACTCATTTATTGTTATTTGTGTGGTAATCATTTTTTAGGTACTGTTCAAATTTAAAAGGTTTGTAATTATTGAAGTTGTAACTGCTAAACAATCCTCGTAAAATATAGGAGCTAAATCTGAATTCGTTATTCACTCTCCTGCTTCTATTCATTTGACGAGTTACATTTTAACCCAGTCAACAAATTCGTGATCGATTCAAACTTTTTAAATATTGGCATTTATTCGTGAAATATGTTTATTATAAAAGTTTATTTATATCCGGAGTCATTTATGTTTTTTTGTAAAATTTATTAATTGACAAGAACAGCCTTTAAAAGGAAATAGCTACATATGGTATACTTTTGATACATCGAAATGGTCGGCACATACTAGACAATACAATTATAACATTACACTATATTCTTGATACATCGAAATGGTTGGTACATACTATCCAATATAATTATAATATAATGTATTTTTATTGCTAATATATAGAATTGACATATGAGATTTTTACTAAGAAATTATTCTCCGAGGCCATGCCATGCTTATGAAAAAATTTAAATATACCAGACATCCAATGATTCAAGTTGGATCATTGGATGGCTAGTGTTACGTGAGTGACTGTAACGCGACAGTCAAAGCTAAAAGTAACTATGCATAACAGAACTACGTATAATAGAGTTAAATAAACTATGTAATTAGTAATAACGTAATTGTATAGTATGTTGGGTATAAATAAGAGAAGTTAAGGGGAAGATCTTAGATGTCTAAGAAATTTTAGTTTTGCATATTTTGAATAAAGAGAATAATCCATATTTTGTCGTCAATATCATTTTCAATAGATAAATAAGCGAGTGTTCGTTAGATCTGTAACTGGTAAGATTTCGGTGTTAAAACTGTTAGAATCGCTCAACCCGTGACAGCCAGCAAATTTAATTCTTTTTTTTAGAAGTTCAATTGAATGATTCCATATTTTTTATTATTTTATTTTTTTTTTAGTACTCATAGAGTTAATAATTATTCGACAATCTAAACATCAATAAAGTAAATATATTAACATGATACTTTATTTATTATGAGGAACTTCAATATTACATAGGTTTGCTAATTAAAGACCAATTCAAAAATTTAATTTAAGTATTTAAGTAATATATATAATATATATAATTTTTTTGATTTTTTTAAACTAAATCTCTTCAATTTCACTCGAAATTTGTACAAGCGTCTTGCTAGTGTACATAGAATCTGTATGTGTTGGTGAATTAAGTTTTAATTTTTTGATTTCCTTATCAGCATCTAAGAATTGCTTATTAATTTCATCATCAGGTGAACCTTCCGCGATGCTTTTAATCCATTTTTGAAGTTCATCATGAATTTCTGATGCCTTTGGCCGTTTATCCGGATCAGGATCCATACATTGCTCGGCCAATTTTTTATAACAACTAGGAGTTTCAGGAGTAAATTCTGGCCGCAATCCTTTGCAAATATTTATTGATAGTCTGGTATTAAAATCATAACCATCGAAGGCTCTTTGTCCAGTTGAAACTTCTGTCATAATAACACCAAATCCATAAATATCTGCTGCTTGTGTAAACTGCATTTTGCCAGATAAAACTTCAGGAGCAACATAGGGCAGGATTCCACAAATTTCTCCTTTTGAACCATCATCTTTTTTTCTTGATAATCCAAGATCTGCAATGTATGATTTTATTTTTCCATCAATATTTTGGTTCAGTAAAATGTTCTTACTGTGAAAATCGCTATGTATGAATCCTGCACTGTGAATCTGATGTAAATCATTTGATATATATAAAAGTTGCTCCAATTTTTTTTGCCATGTAACTTCGCTAAAATTTTGAGTTAAAAATTCATTAAGATTTCCTCGATTGGCATATTGAAATACCATCAGATATTCATCCTTTTCATTTTTAGTCAATCCATACATTTCAAGTTCAATACCTTCTAATCTACATTCCATATGAGTTTTAAACTTTAAAATATCAAACATTGTATAATTAAAATTTATAGGCCATATATATAATAAATTTACATCAAATAGATAATATTCTTACCTCGTCTAAAAATTTAGACGCATCCGACTGAGAATCAAGTAAAGTTTTTAGTGCTACAACATAAGGTATTCTACGTGATTGTTTATAGTCTTCACCATCTTTCTCGATTGTTCGCTTACCACCTAACCAAATTGCTAAATATACAATTCCAAATCCACCTCTACCAATTTCTTTAATATTAGATAATTCTTTAAACGGAATCCATTCAATTACTTTCTCATATGCAGTAGCTTTAAGTTGAAAATTTGTGATGCAATTATCAATCTCTGTATTTCCACTTGATGGATGATATTTGTGCGATTCCTTGGATGGATCACACGATTGACACCATTTTGGACTGGTATTAGGCCGTTCACATTGTTCACACTTTCCATAGCTGGTATCTCTTCTGTTGAAATAATAATCAAGAACAATCATGTATTGTTCGGTTTCATTATTTTGAATTTTTCCATAAGCTATTCCATATATTTTATATTTCACTTTATTATTTTCTTTTTGCATCATTTCATTAAGCATATCAAGTAACTTATAAGATATAAGTTTCATATATTAGTCTTACATTATTCAGTGTAGTAAATTAATAACATAGTGAGCAATTTAAAACTTACTTTCTTTATATCATCAGAAGAACTACTCAATTTTATGATATCAACGCATGACTTAGTGCGTGATCGTATATATCTTCCAGATTCTTTTTTAATCGTTCGTATACCATCCTCCCAAGTTGCCATAAAAAATTCTAATTCCTCTTTAATTTCCTCCTCCTTAATTTCTTCCTCCTTAATTTCTTCCTCCTTAATTTCTTCCTCCTTAATTTCTTCCTCCTTAATTTCTTC